CCAGGGCCTCCCCACCTCACAGGGAGGAATTCCTTCCCAATATCCCATCTGACCCTGCCTTCCCTTCCCCAGGTGAACACCTCCCGCTCTCCCAGCCTGTCTTGCCTTGTTGAAGTTCCAGTTTCAGGTACAAGATCCAGTCACTGGGATTAGTTTCAGGCCACACTCATTTCTCACCTTGTAAAAACCCAACAAACATTCTCAAGCTCCTGTACGAGAAACCCAACAGAGCTGCAAACCAAAGCCTGGTTGTGCTTCCTCCCTGGTGCCAACCTTGTGTACAGGCCAGTCCTCCTCGGGCTCCTGCACATCAGCTGTGAACCCACTGGAGGGAGAAGACAAGCTCACCTTTCCTGCAGTTTTCTGACATTGCAACCACCAGCCACGTCCTGCACAGGCTGGGAGTGACCCCAGTGACCCCTCGTGTCCCTCCAGCTGGTGGCACAACGGCAGCTCCAGGGTTTGCTGCAGGTCCTGGCAGCTGGGGAGATTCCCACAGGGAGCAGGTGGATCCCTGGCAGTTCCACACACCAAGCACAGCCCTTACACTCAGCAGTTTGGTACCACTGGGGCAGAACTTGTTACAGGGAAACAAAAAGCTTTGAGACACAGGGGAGAGTCAAATGCCTTAAAACCCACAGAGAACTCGTGAGAGAAGGAGTCACCAACAGCAAATGAATACACAAGATCAGCCCAAGGCTATAAAACATCCTCTTCCTCCCTTCTGTGCACTCCAGACAGAAGAAACTGGATTTCAAATAATGGAAATGTGAGATAAGCACATTTTAACTGGGACAAAGGGCAGCCCCAAAGCTGGCACATTTTAAGTGGGGCAAAGGACAGCCCCAAAGCTGGCACATTTTAACTGGGACAAAGGACAGCCCTACAGCTGGCAATTATTTCAAGGTCAGACCGTGAACAGCAAATAAATCCATACCCCCATTCACCTTTTAGGTGAATTCATTCACCTGAACATTCACCTTTTAGATACAGAAGGGGAAAAGTGCAGGAAAACTGTTCATTTATGAGCAAAAAGCTTCCCCTGGAGAAAACAACACCTGTGTGATTTCACAGAATCATAGAACCATTTGAAAGCTGTTGGTCTGACACTCAGTTCTTCTTTATATTCCTGAAGTAGGACTGGCAGCAGTTTGTTGGAGTTTTTTATTCTAATATCAGGAAATACATTAAATACCAATTGGTATCTCTTACACTGAGCAGCATGAAATTAATTCCAAGGACTGTGGTGCCAGCAAATGTCCTTTGTGCCAGAGCCATCACAGGTCAGGAGGAGTTTGATTGCCATGCAGAACCTGCCGAGTGTAGGGACCTGCTTAAAAACCATAACCTTTTACAAAAAAAAAAACAAAAACAAAAAAGAAAGCTACTTTATATTCACCTGAACAATAATATAAAATCTTAAAATCAGCTCTTATCCCAGCACAGCCCCTGCTCCAGGGATGGGCTTTGTCCACTGACAGTTCACTGAAGCCTCAGACACGGGGGGAGGTTTGGAGGATGAAATGATGGAAAGCCTTGGGTGGAAGGAAGAAGGCTGAAGATTCCAGCAGGAAAGCCTGGCAGGCTGCCATTCCCTTTGGAAGAGATCCAGTCCTATGTACATATTCACAAGTGTGTCCTGGGAGAAGAGGAGCTTCTTACAGAGCCTGGGATTTGTCTCAGTCCAGGGTTTGGAAAGCAAACCAAGAACAAAGAACTGTAAATTATCTACATACAGAGAACCACGTGGTAACTATGGACCAGCCCAGGGGGAGCTCAGCCCCACAGCTCTTCTGTCCTTCCAAACTTGTAGATCAGAGTACTGAGGGGGAAAAATAAAAGGAATAAAAATCAGACCATACATAAGGCAGTTTGTTTAACAGTGTTCTTGACTCTTATTCTGTAAATCAACAGCCCTGAATTTGCATTCCAGCCAGTGGCTGTGTTTTGTTTCCCGTGCATGGCTGAAGCTTTGGGAGCCAGCTGAAGCTCAAACAAAAAATAACCACTTTCACAGCCCTTCTGAAGGGAAAAACTGGTATTTATGGGATTCTAGGAGATTTAGGAAGTGCTGTTTCCTGCAGGAGCATCCCTAATTTCCCAGCCAGGGCATTGCTCCAGAGCCCACTGATCTCATTCCCTGCAAAGCATTTGATGTGGGACTGGAAGGAAAAGGGTCAGCACAGGAATTTTTAAAAAAAGGAGGTGAGGTGAAATTTTTCAGTGACTGATCTTGGAACTGACACTATTTAATGCTTTCAGTGTCTTTTATTAGTGAGATCCCTGGATTGCAGAATGCATTCTACACCTAAAGAGCTATTACAGATACCAACTCAGTTCAAAGTGTTATATGAGAAACCCAACAATATGAGCTGAAATAAACCCAGTGTGCTGTCACAAAACACAGCAGCACGCTCTCACGAAATGGAATTATCACTCTTTATAACTGCAAGCTCAGCCACTGGAAGGAAATACAGGGAATATCAACTCTCAGATAACTGAGCCATCGGTGTGAAATAGTCTGGAAAGGGGCAATTGAATCTCCCACCTGGTTCTGCTGGGACAGATGCCAAGGTATTTGTAGCACAGAGCTAAAAGCATCACTGCCATGATCCAAAGACACTGGCAATGTCTCAGCCAGAACACTGGCTGGATCCACATTCCAGAGCTGTAAATTCAGGGAGAGCAGAGAGAGCTGCACTAACAGGAGCCCGAGGGGAAGCAAGAGCCTCTCATGGGCTGGGAAGGGGCAAATCAAACCTCATTTTTAAGCTCTGGGGCAAAGGGAGTAGGAAAAAGAACCCTTTTTCCAGGAGTCTCAATGTATGGAAGCAGGTGAGTCCCTCTGGAAGGAGGGAAGTTTGCCCAGGTAACTTACCTGAAAAATATTAATGCATTTTGGAAAAACACTGCTAAGCCAGGGTACACATTAGTGTCTGCAAAGGAAGGAACAAAGGGAAAACATTGAGTCCTTCAGCACTGGGAGGGGTGTCCAACACACAGCTCAGGGTCTCTGACTCAAACCTGGGTGCTGGGGCTGGGATCTTGTCAGACACCACCCACACCTCCACCCTTTGGGACCTCCTGCCAAAAGCTGGCAGGAAAAGCACTTTTCCAGAGGTGAACAGAACCCAACTCACTTTGTGTGACATATGCTCCAAAGAGAATCCACATGGAAGCAATGAGGGATCCAAACATCAGCATGAAGCCGATGAAGAGCCAGATCCGAGCACCTGCAGGGAAGATCAAAACCTCTGAGAACATGGGGGTCGTTATCCATGTTATCCCTGGGGACAGGCAATCCAGCTGCTCTGGGATGATGGTTAAACCCTGGATCAGGGACAAAACAACCCACCTGCTCACTCACGGGAAAGGAAAAATATTCTCTTTTTCTCTTGAGCTGGTTCATGAATGACACAAAAGAGCATCACAGGCCAGTTCAACCATCAGTAAATCCCAGATTTCCACTGAGGCATTTACAAATCCCATGGAAAAGGCTGCTGGGATCCACATGGGAAACAGGACAGGAATTATGAAGGGAAGCAGAGGGGACAGCAGGCCCATGGACACCACACAGGGGGTGACACAGAGGGAGTCTGGGACACATTCCTAAGGAATGTCTGCTCCAGAGCCCACCCCAGGGCAGGGATTTAGTTCTCCCAGCAGCCACCCAGGATTTGCAGAGGAAAGTTTAAGAAGCCAAGATATCCAGCAGCTGAATTTTTCCAAGTTCACCTTTTTAATAAAGACAGACCTTATCTCCAAGGGTTGATTCTGTAAAGAAATTAATTCACAGAATTCTCTCCTAACTCCTCGTCTTCACATTATTTCTTTCACCACAAGTTGGAAAAAACCCCAACACAGAAATAACCAGTCCTTCAACTCAGTGGGACTTTTAGAGTTCATTTACCTGTTCTTCCTAAGCATCCATCACTGTAGCTGTCTCCTCTCACCTGTGCATTGGATACAGCATTTATCCTAGGAACAAAAACAGCAGATGCAATTCAGATTATTAGAAAAATCATATTAAAGTTATAAGTTACAAATTCTGGAAAAAAATTCCTTGGCATTCTGTACAGTCACAAACCCAAATTCCTCCTTTTTTCTTGCCAATATTGGGTGATTCAATAAAAGTTGTTACTTCTCTTTCAAGCT